TGCTTGACACAGAGTAAGGACTCAGTCACCATTTGTTTACGTCATTCATTAACGGTATGACATATATTAGAGGAGTCTCCCATTTTTTTTAGATATGGCAAATCAATTTATTTCTTTTTTAATTAATTTTATTATACTTGAAGTTCTGGGGTACCCCTGCAGATCGTGCAGGATTGTTACATAAGTATAAATATGCCATGGTGCTTTGCTGCATCCATCTCCCCGTCACCTACATTAGGTATTTCTCCTAATGTTATCCCTCCCCAATCCCCCCAGCCCCTGCTACCCCTCCTCTCCTCCCCTACCCCCCAACAGACCTCAGTGTGTGATTTCCCCTCTCTGTGTTCATGTATTCTCATGTTCAACACCCACTTATGAGTGGGAACATGTGGTATTTGGTTTTCTGTTCTTGTGTCAGTGTGTGGAGAATGATGGTTTCCAGCTTCATCCATGTCCCTGCCAAAGACATGAACTCATCCTTTTTATGGCTGCATAGTATTCCATGGTGTATATGTGCTACGTTTTCTTTATCCAGTCTATCATTGATGGACATTTGGGTTGGTTCCAAGTCTTTGCTATTGTAAATAGTGCTGCAATGAACATATGTGTGCGTGTGTCTTCATAACAGAATGATTTATAATCCTTTGGGTATATACCCAGTTATGGGATTGCTGGGAGAAATGATATTTCTATTTCTAGATCCTTGAGGAATTGCCACACTGTCTTCCACAAGGGTTGAACTAACCTCCTGTTTTTTGCTAGGTACCATAGCTTCATCTCATCTGACTATCCGGAGATGATGAATGGTGCCTCATTTAGGAAACACCAACAATACATGAAGGCAATTTACACACAGGCACCCTGGAGCCCTGGTGTAGCTCACTCGAAGTTCTTGTTCAAAACTTAGTAAAATAGATTTTAATCAGTGACCATATTTTAATCAATACTATTTTTTTACTGTTCAGGGCACTACTATTCAAAGCACAGCTCCTGGACGTGCAGTATTAGTATCACCTGGGGGCTTGTTAGAAATGCAAATTCTCGGCCTCCATCTAAGGCCAACTGGTCTGGGCCCAGTCGTCTGTGCTTCTGTTGGTCCTCAGGTGATTCTGACGAGCACTGAAGCTTGAGCAGCACTGCAGTCAAAATTACTTCAGTGATTCCTTCCAGTTCCTTCGCTTCCTCTTACAAGCCTTAGTATGACACGGTCAGGTTCTCAGTACCAACCTGAGATTACTGAGTTACAATAAAACTCAGTAACTGGTTATTCATGTACATCAACTTATCACCTCTCATGTTGACAAGTTATCTTTTGCCACCTAAAAATGCCTGAAAGCCACCTTCTCAGGTTTCAGAAGCTTCCATCTGTTTCGACAACATGCGTGGCTACAGCCCAGCTATTCACCCATTAAAGCCCTCCCACGTCCAGACAGCACTTACATGCTTTGAAGTTGAATTTGAAGACTCTGGAAGCACAGAAAATTGGGGTTTTTCTGAGGCAGAGGTTTTCATCATTATATAACCAAGGAACTTTTGTGTCTTTTCAAATGATGGATGTTTTATGTGTTTAATATGCGAAGCACATTGAGAGGAATTGTCTCCGGCTGTTGTGACTGGCTCGGTGTGTTCACCTCTCACCAACCTGCCTCTGTTCTCCCACCCAACATCTGATTGTTCTGTGAGAACAACAGGTAGGATCCATAATCGTAAGGTTGGAAAATCTCAGTGATATGGCACAGTTTCTCAGAGTGTGTATAGTGCCAACGTTTTGGGGCCTCTACCCCAGAAAAATAAATCAATATTTCTGGTCACAGAAAAAGAATGAAACAAGATTTTTTTTCTTGCCGTGGCATAAGAATTTCTGTCCATCAAAGAAGTATGGAAAAGCATGCAAGATAATTCTGCACATGAGAGTCTGTGAATCTCTGCTCTAGGAACTTTATGCTGTAAGTTTTAGTTTAAAAAAAAAATCATTTATACATACTGTTTGCATATAGTCATTCCAAATCATTCCATTCAAAGTGTTCATTCAAACCAGCAATGAACCAAGACTTTTTAAGAGGTGAAATCTCTATTTCTCTGCATAATTTTAAATAAAGCTTTTGTTCTAAAAGCTAAATGCACAGAAACTGTGATAAATGACTTACTATATTTACAATTTTAAGCAATGTAGTAAACATGTATCACCACTCTTTGAGGAGATTTTGGGGGAAACTATAGTTAATTGGACAAAAACTTGGTCTGCAAAGAGATTAAAAGGTAAAGTAACCAGAGTACAAGATAGGAAGTAATAAGAGTCATGAGTTTGGTAAAGGATTCTTTCACTTCTAATGAGTAGGAGACGGCTACTTGTAGTTTAGTTGTTAGTTCAACACAGAATTAAATCAGAAAGTTGACCTGGGATCAGTCATCTCTCTTTTCCCAATTCTTTACAGATGCAATACAACTGATGCCTTTTAGTAGGAGTTTTAGGGTACCAGGAAGAGCTGCCCCCAGTCTGCAGTGGTGTAGGGAGCAGTGTATTAGGATGGCACCCTGTGGTCACCCACTGTACCATGTAGTGTTTCCTGAGCCAGTCCCTAGCTGCAAAATGCACAAAGCTGGCAGACCACAAAACAGAGGGGTAAATGAGAGACCGGGTGGTCAGAGGTCAGATGTGACGCAGACATGGCTGGAAAGTGAAGGTGAAACAGCGTGTCATCATTAAGCATACACTACTCTGAAAGCTGCTGTCATTTCCACATTGCGTAAGTTTACTAGAATTTATTGTCTATTATTTGGGTTGAAATAATTACAAATTTCCATTTAAAAATATAAAGAAAATATTAGACATTTAGTAGAATTCTCTCAGTGTCTACTGGTATCTCAGACCCTATATAGAAAGAATACTATATTTTCTTAACTAAAATATTATGGTCTAGAGAGTGTGTCAATTAACAGTGTCAGTAATTCTAAGTTCATTCTCCTAAAACAAAATTCTGGCGAAGACCAAGGAGAACTTTATGATAAAACAAAATAAGAAGACTAAAATTTTCAGATAAATACTATTGATAAGATAGTAGAGACAGACACACTAGGAAACAGTAAAGAATATGAATGTGCACACAATGAAATTATGAGTGCTAAAACTGCTTTCAATGTTGAGATAATAAGTAATGGTTTAATTTTGCTCTAAAGAATGTGATTTTTTTATTTTTAGTACAAATTTTATTTTGGAAAATCATATTAAAGAACGAGTAGATAGGTCTACTCACATAATAAATCCAATGTGTTATACAGTTGTACAGGAACAAACATAGTAAATATAGGGTTTGGTACATTTTCAGTTTCAGGCATGCATTGGAGGATTTGAAACATATTGCCTATTAATGGGGAGGGATGACTGTACATGTGAAACACCCAGAAAAATGCGTAAGTCTCAAAGAGGTGGCCTAAAACTCAGGCTTGAATATCATCTCTAAAGGCAAAGGAAGAAAGGGAGCAGGGAAGACAGAGTAAGGTTTGTTAGGCAGATTATTGAGTTGGTGCCTTCTGAAGGATCAGTCTCCAGAGACTCTGTTCTCCTTCTCTTCCTAGTAAGGAGACGGAGACACGCTTACAAATGGAGATTTCCTTTGTAGATACAGATTTCCCTTGCAAAAGGGTGACTTCGGCTCTATTTTTAGAGCTTTTCCTGTGTCTACTATTTCTCAAAATAATCAACTCAAAATAATACGTATGCTAATGTGGCATATTTTGGGGTGGCATATTCTTGTCTCCTACAGTTATATTTTGGGGTGGCATATTCTGGTCTCTGACATGCTCAAGGTGAAATTTTCCCTAGTTTGGTTTATGATGTTGGAGCATGAGTATCCTTTAGTAGGGTTTGTTTTTCTCTGGAGGTGTCAATGTCAGAATGGTCTTATACTCTGGTTGAAACATCAGAATTGTTATAAGCTTGGGTTTGATATTTATATTAATGTATCATTCTGAATCACACGGGTATTGCAGGGGTTTAGATTTATCTCATTTTCCCCCATTGCTGACATTTATTTCTATCTCTCCATTTTCCTTACCAGACCCCAGGCGCCCAGCTCATGTGAAGCAGAGCTTCTTTCCCTCCCACGACCATCTCAAGATCACAGAGCATCAGCTAATGCCTTACTTTCTGGGCTTATCTACTCCTGTATTTAAAGATGTTGTTTCTACATTTTCATTTGTCCCAGGAAATTATCTTTTTTTTTTATTTTTTGCAAGCTCATCTAAAATTTCAAAAATTCCTTAAATTTTATTTAGTAATTCTATTAGGAGATATTTCTTATTATGTTAGGCTTCCATCTTGCAGGTCCCAGAAATTTCTGACATGGTGAAAGCCGCACAAGCCCACAACTGCCAGAACCTGTTGTATGTGGGAGGAAAATCAATTTCTACCAGGTAAAGTCATTGTGATTATTTTGTGCCTTCTGTCAAACACAGTCAAAATTAATTGTATTACACCTTTGACTACTTAAATTAGAGAATAAAAGACTAAGGGAAACATATTAACATCTTCAAAATAACTGAATGATAACCATCTTTGCCAAAGAAAAGCATTTTTAAATGGGGGGTAGCACAGGGAGAAGGAGGAGTCCTTTCTTTTTCTTTTTTTTTCTTTTTTCTTTTTTAGGAGGAGTCCATTCACACTAAGGATGTTATTGCCGTTTGAATATGTGGCTTTAGAAGCTACACATGGCTCAAATTAGCTCTAAAGTTCTTTCTACTTTTTAGAATTTTTCTGCATCATTAGAATATATCTCTTATATTTAATCTCAATATGAAAACCTATTTCATAGTACTTATAATAAACGCATTCTCAAAGTTTATATCAAAGTACTCCAGTTACAGTGATATCTCCTAGTAGTGAATTAGAGACTCCAACCCAAAACGTATCATAAACTAAATATGCACCTGATGAGGCCATGCTCCACAGAGACTACACTAAACAAACCAAGTGCTTAATAATCTTAGAGCATTCCAATTACCTGCACTTCCTGCTGGTCGTGAGTCATTCCTGCTCTCACTGTGCAGAATGACAGCCAGCCCCACTGAGTCTCCTGGGAGGACTGAGCTGCTGAGGTCTACCCGAGTCAAGCTCTGGGGCTCCTGCTCACAGCCTCCTGCTGCATTTCTGGGGTTGTCACCTCCAGTTGCATTCGTTTCTTGACCTTTTCTCCATGGTCTCTGCACAATGTGAACAATGCTCTGCTGATCCAGGTCACAGTTCTGTTTGAGAGCAAGGGAAAAATACAAGGAAATGGCAAACCTGAAATGCCACCCAGAGTTTACCTTATCCTCAGTGTTAGAAGGAAAAGGAAAATGACATGTAATTTCCTTATGTAAGAGTATGTAAGCCACAGTGCTTACATACTCTACACAGTAGACAAACAACACTGAACTGGGATTAGAAACAGAAATCTGGGAATATGTGAAACACAACAGAATGCTGAATCACATTCAAAAGGACATGTAACCTAGCAGGAAAAAAATATTACCATACTGGATGTATAAGCACAGTGAAAATGATCTTTTTTTTCCACTGCACCTCCCCACACACCCCGCGCCTAGACAGAGTCTTACTCTGTCGTCCAGGCTGGAGTGCAATGGCGTGATCTCAGCTCACTGCAACCTCCGCATCCTGGGTTCAAGCAATTTTCCAGCCTCAGCCTCACAAGTAGCTGGGATTACAGGTGTGTGCCACCACGCCTGGCTAATAATAGTATTCTTAAATAATGAAACCGATTGACATCGGAAGTGATTTGTCCTTATAATTATCTAATTTAAATACTGGCATTCATTTCTGTCTTATAAAAATACACAAAGTAAGTTATTATCAATTTGCAGGCATTTTTTCACAGCATCGGAAATGAATGTGTTTGAATAGACTTCACACACAACCCTCTATGAGCACCAGCACACACATTGTTACACCAGAGGGGAAGCAAAGTGGGGGCACGCTCCTGTCACCCAGGGTTCATTCCCTCTCTCTGCCGATTTAACCACGAAAATCAGCAAACAAATACAAAAAGGTTTTTCATCTATATATTGACATGTAGAAACAGAAGACTTTAACATGTTGTGGAATAAAAATTACAAGTCAGGTTATTTGCTAGGATAAGAACTAGACTACCCTAAAAGGAATTCTAGTTTATCTACTACATAGGGCCAGCCATGTTGGCTCAGGTTTGTAATCCCAGTGTTTTCAGAGGCCAAGGCGGGTGGATCACCTGAGGTCAGGAGTTCCAGAAGAGCCTGGCTAACATGGCAAAAACCTGTCGCTACTAAAAATACAAAAATTAGCTGGGCATGATGGTGTGCACCTGTAGTCCCACCTACTCGTGAAGCTGAGGCAGAAGAATTGCTTGAACACACAAACACACACACACACACACACACACACACACACACACACACACACACAATCTACTACATAGAAGCAGTTACTCATCTCTTGCTACCCTCTTAAGACAGAGCAAGGACCTTACTCTCTCAATAAATGGATGCCAGCTGGGCATGGTGGCTCATGCCTGTAATCCCGGCACTCTGGGAGGCTGAGGCTGGCAGATCACTTGAGGCCAGGAGTTTGTGACCAGCCTGGGCAACATGGTGAAACCCTGTCTCTACTAAAGATACAAAAAAAAAAGAAAAAAAATTAGCTGGGTGGTGAGTGCCTATAATTTCAGCTATTCAGGAGGCTGAAGCAAGAGAATTGCTTGAACCTGGGAGCTGGAGGTTGCAGTGAGCTAAGATCATGCCACTGCACTGCAGCCTGGGCAACAGAGCGAGACTCCATCAAAAAAACAATTTAATTTAATTTAAATTAAAATAAATAAATAAATGCCTTTCAAATACCTCTTCCCATTCTCATCTTAGGAATGCTCAAAGAACACTTGAAATACCCTGGCTTGGCTGTGGTGAATACATTTTAAAGAATCCTGCCAACTCCATTTTACCCACCCTGGGCTATGCAGGGCATTCTGTTCTGAGAACTTTGTTGTCTGAGATGCCTGGCATCTTTGTAACCAATTTTCTGAGAAATAGGGCCCACTGGCCCCTACATCCTGTACCTGCAGCTGTGTAACTGCCTACCCCACATCCTGAGTGAAAAACAACTTCAAATAGAATTTTGTTGTTAGGCACCCCCCGCCCCCAAGCTACTCCTTCTGCTTCTGTAATAATCTGCTTACCGCCCCCGACCCGAAACTGATATAAAAAAGTTGACCGTCCTTCGTTCTGGGCTGAGAGATTTGAGCTCTAGCTGACTATCGGACGCTGGCATAAAAGTGGGCTCTCAACGAACTCAGAGTGTGGCACTTCTGTTTACACTCACTCAGGTATAACATTTGGCGGCCCCAGTGAGAATTTATATCACCACCAGGCATGGACCGGGCTAGCTCCGGACCTCCCCGGATGAATGATGAAGGAGGGAGGTGCCCCCTGAGACGTTCCAGGGCCCCATAAGTCAGTGTCTCCGGAGAGGAATGGACTGACTGCTCCCGCACCCACAGAATTTGGCTCTGAGTCCATTGTCTCAGGTCCTGGGAAGGAAAGTCAGATCTGACTCTACTCTCTCTGGTTTCTGGTTTCTGGAAGGGACAAGCCCTGATGGGGGCACCCCTTCATTAATCCTGTCCAAAATCCAGGACGCTGGGGGACAGGACCACAGGTCACTAAATTTGTATGGTTAATAACAACTGTATTAGCCTCTGAATAAGTGTATGTGTACATGTGTAGATTGAATGAGGAGACCAAGGGCCTGCCCTTGGATCTCCAATTTGTGGCTCTGTGGTGAACAACTACGGAGTCTGAGAGGGCCCCAACCTGTGGTACCATGGTGACCTCATATGGCTTAAGACAGCATCAGGCTCCACTCAAACTTGATCCTTGTTGTGTGTTTATACCAACCTGCTGATGCTAAGAGGCACCTAAATTCCCACAAGGAAAGTGGCCAGGAGGGCATCTGAGTGGACCCTCATGGGGCACCCCTGTCCCCATTTCTGTGTGTCCTCTGTCTTGGTGTCATAAGCCTGGCCGTCGACATTGTCCCAGGCAGATGGGGAAAAGCTTTTTTTCTATCATCGGTAGAGACCTCCTGCCCCCTGGAATGGCGGCTCTAGTCTGGTGTCTAAGATAGTCACCCAAAAATTGTCTGTACTGCTTCAAAACCATCGAGTGCTGTATGGATTAGATTGTAAACCTCACCTCTTATTGACTGGAAGTTCTGGCACCATAGAGACTGCTGGCAAGTGGACTGTCACAGATCCTGGCCAAAAGTCTGGCTCTCCCCCACTATAAATAGGTGGCAGATCCAAAACAGCCACCCTGCTGACTTGCTGGCACACCTGTTCTGCCACCCAAACACTTTCCCCAGCCAACTCAGGCCTTCTGAGTCATACGTAAGGTGACCTTTCTCTCTTCTAAACTCCTTCCAAGCCCTTCCCAGTGAACTCTGGTTCCTGGTGGACCTGGAATCTAATACCAAATACCCCCCCAGACCCCGTCCATACCCCATACCACTGAAATCCTTGTTCTAGGCAGGTACAGAGACTCCAGGACCTGGCCCTTACGGCTCTCCTCTCTCCCCTCACTGAGAGGGCCAAATTCAAACTCGAGGTTTTTGACGAGTGGAGGCACCAGAGGTACCTGGGTTACAGATGCAGAGGAAGACAGGCGTCGGCCCGGTGTTTCATCTGAATCTTCCATGTGGTAAACAGCTTTAGCCCTGACTCTTTTTGTTCTCTTTTTGGTTGTAATCCTTCTGGCTTGTAGGTTCTCTCAACCATCCCCTCCTGGCCGGGAATATTTCTGCCCGTGTTGAGTATAATTTTCTCTTGTAAGCCAAGATGGGAAATGCACCCTCCCATTCCCATCCTCAGCCACCTACCCCTTTACAGTGTATGCTTAAAAACTTTTCCCTGGATTTCATGGTTGATCATGGAGTTCGCCTCTCCAAGGGCTGACTCCACACCCTATGTAAACTGAAATGGCCAAGTTTTAATGTGGAGTGGCCGAACACAGGGTCACTGGACCCTGATGTCATCGGGCTGTTTGGAGGGTAGTTAGAGGAAATCCAGGCCACCCCAACCAGTTCCCGTATATTGATCAGTGGCTACACTTGGTTCTTAACCCATCACCATGGCTCCGATCCTGCGTGGCTCAAGATCCTGCCTGTAAAATACTCCTTAACTACACCACTTGGTCGCCCCCCTCTTCAGCTTCAGCCCCTCCAGTTCTGCCTCCGCCTGGGGAGGACAAAGTTTTTCCTCTCCTTCCCCTGCCTTACGACCTGCCGGCCCCAACAGAGTCACCTATTATTACTTCTTCTGTTCCCCCTGCCGTGTCATAGCCTGTGGATTCCAGACTCCTGCCACGACTTGGGAGAGTAGGCTGCCCCCATACCCCTAAGGAAGGCACTGCCTCCAGTGGTAAGCAATCAACCCCATTTTCGGTTTATGTCCCATTTTCCACCTCTGACTTGTATAATTGGAAAGCTCAGAACCCACCGTTTTCTGAAAAACCCCAGGCTGTGACCTCTCTGGTGGAATCCGTACTTCAGACTCATTGTCCTCCCTGGGACAACTGTCAGCAAATCCTTCTCACCCTTTTTACTGCGGAGGAGAGGGACCATATCTGCAGAGATGCGTGAAAGCATTTCCTCTCCTCCACTGGTCAGCCTGAAGAGGAGGCCAGAGATCGGTTGGAGGAAGTCTTCCCTACCAGCAGACCAAACTGGGAACCCAACTCCTCGGCAGGAAGGCATGCTTTGGACAACTTTCACCGCAATCTACTCATGGGCATTAAGGTAGCTGCATGGAAACCCATGAATTTATCCAAAACCATGGAAGTGATCTGGGGAGCTGATGAGTCTCCTAGGGTATTCTTGGAATGTCTCCAGAAGACCTATCATATTTATACCCCATTTGATTCGGCTCTTCCTGAAAATAGCCACGCTTTAAATTTGGCTTTTGTGGCTCAGGCAGCCCCAGACATCCAGAAAAAATTACAAAAATTAGAAGGATTTAGAGGCATGAACATCACACAGCTTTTAGAAATAGCCCAGAAAGTGTTTGATGATAGAGAAAATGCTGCCGACAAAGCTTCCAAGAGACAGGCAAAAATTTTGGTGGCTGCTCTCCAGGAGACACGGGGGAGACCCCCTTTCCAACAAATCAACAAGAAAGACAAGGGCCATCGTCAGTTGGGGGCCCAAATCCCACTACAGCGAG